ATATCGAATATTTATTTGACTACTTCCTGTTTACGGATCATTATCGGGATAGATTTTTTTTACTGTATTTTTCTTTAAATATCGAATATTTATTTGACTACTTCCTGTTTACGGATCATTATCGGGATAGATTTAACAAGTGGTATGGGAACTTAATTTCCTGTACCAGTGGGTTTCAGAAAGATCCATTGGACAGTTTTACCTCCCTTATACCATTAGAAGCAGATTTACAGATATAACGATTTTTCGACTTCTTTTCAAAGATTGTGGCCCTTTTGGACCGTTTATACTATATTGAGGCTTTTAAATTTGGATTCACAACATAGACCACCGTTAGGACTCTAAGTAACAGAAGTTTAAGAAAGGAAATAAGAGAAGTTTTCGAAATAAAAGTGTCTGAATAGGCTCCAAAAAGGAAAATAATAGATTTTCAGCGTTCCATTATATATTGCCTAACCCGCGAATTTTTACCATTTAGATCTCATAAGATTGTCCATTGTTCGAACTATCCAATGACACTTTAGTTGTTTTGATTCAGTGAAATCTGGCGTAGTAATCACTTTTTTCGCAAGATCTCCATTTTTTTAATTTTTACGTTTTTTTTTTTCTCAAAATATCCGAAATTTTTTCGACTACTTCCGTTTTTTTTTATCATTGTCGGGATAGCTTTAACAAGTTGTTTGGTTACCTTACCTTCTGTACAAGAAGTTTCAGAATAATCCATTCAGCTGTTTTCCAAAGAAAGAAAATTAGAAGATCATTTTCAGTAATCTAAGGATTTTTCAACTTTTTTCCAAGATTAAGGCTCTTTTTGGACAACTTATGTTATTTCAATGCTTTTATTGTTGAACTCACGCCATAACCCACCCATAGGACTCTGCGTTTAAAAAGTTTCAGAAAAATCGGAGTTGTCGTTTTCGAGAAAAAGACGTCTAAAAAGGCTCCAAAAACGGAAAATACTAGATTTTCGGCGTACCACAATTTATTTTCTAACCATTGAAATCGTACCATTGAGATGCCATATAATAGTCCATTAATGGGGCCACACAACGAAATCTTAATCCGTTGAATCCATTGATACTGGACGGAGAAATCAAGTTTTTCCCCATAACACCCATTTTTTGCGTTTTTTTTCGAAATATCTATCATTATTTCGACTACTTCCAGTTTCCGGATCGTTGTTGAAATTGCTTTATGCAGCGGTCTGACTATATAGCTTTATGTTTCAGGACTTTCAGAAATATCGATTTATCCTTTCCAAAAAATATAAGGGTTGGGAAATGGGCAGAAAATCCGAAAAAAATCGAAAAATAAAGGGCGATAACTCGAAACGAAAATTATATTTCTGTAATTGGATGGTCTTCAGGTATCCAAAAATGTAGGTCAAATTTGAAAATTTTGAAAAATAACAAAAATTGTTAAACAAAATTTTTCATTTTTCGAACGCTAAAAGTCAGCGATGAAGTTTCGAAATTTCGAAATTTTCAACTGCTATCGTCCGAGAAAAGATTCAGGGTTTCTGAAAATGTCATTTGTATGAAAATAGGTACAGAATTGACGAAGCTACGGCCGTTTGTTAATTTTTATGCACCGCACGAAATTCGGTCACTTCCGGTATGCGCTGAAGTTTCAAAATTGTTTTAAGGAGTAGCCACCACATGGTTTCCCAATAGAAAATTTGGTTCCAGATCGATATCTGTTTCCGATCATGGAGAAATAGGCTCCCGCGGAAAAAAATAATAATAACTAGACCTGCAAGCAGCACTGAACCGGCTTTCAGGAATCAGACAGGAAGTGTGTCATACAATAGCCTATTTATCGACCTACCAAACGATACTTTAGATGTTTTGATCCGGTCACACTCGACGGTGAAATCCCGATTGTTGCAAGAGCACCAATTTTTTTACTGTCTTTTTTTTTTAAAAATATCGAATATTTTTTTGACTACTTCCCGTTTACAGATCATTATCGGTATAGATTTAACAAGTGGTATGGGAACTTAACTTCCTGTACCAGAAGTTTCAGAAAGATCCATTGGACATTATACCATTAGAAGCAGATTTACAGATATAACGATTTTTCGACTTTTTTCAAAGATTGTGGCCCTTTTGGACCATTTATACTATATTGAGGCTTTTAAATTTGGATTCACACCATAGACCACCGTTAGGACTCTAAGTAACATAAGTTTAAGAAAGGAAATAAATAAGAGAAATAAAAGCGTCTGAATAGGCTCAAAAAAGGAAAATAATAGATTTTCAGCGTTCCATTATTTATTGCCTATCTCGCGAATTTTTACCATTTAGATGTCATAAGATCGTCCATTGTTCAAACTATCCGATGAAACTTTAGTTGTTTTGATTCGGTGGAATCTGGCGTAGTAATCACTTTTTTTCGCAAGATCGCCATTTTTTTACTTTTTAGGGGTTTTTTTTCTCAAAATATCGGAAATTTTTTCGATTACTTCCGGTTTTTGGATCACTGTCGGGATAGCTTTAACAAGTTGTTTGGTTACCTTATCTTCTGTACAAGAAGTTTCAGAATAATCCATTCAGCTGTTTTCCAAAGAAAGAAAATTAGAAGATCATTTTCAGTAATTTAAGGATTTTTCAATTTTTTTCCAAGATTGAGGTTCTTTTTGGACCACTTATATTATTTCAATGCTTTTATTTTTGGACTCACGCCATAGTCCACTCAAAATGCTCCAAAACGGAAAATACTAGATTTTCGGCGTACCATAATTTATTTTCTAGCCATCTAAATCGTATCATTCAGATGTCATATGATAGTCCATTAATGGGGCTATCTAGCGATACTTTAGTTCTTTTGGTCCGGTAACATCTGATGGAGAAATCAAGTTTTTCGCAAGAGCGCTATTTTTTAAAACCTTTTTTCTTCATTTTTTGAATACTTCCGGTATGGAGATTATTGTCGGGATAGTTTTAATAACCGGATTGGCTTATCAAATCGCCACAGGGGTATGTAATAATATATTACATTGTCTGATCAGATAAAATGTCCCTGGGAAATCCTAAGTTCAATAGTGCCAAAAATGCAAAAATGTCAATATATCGAAAATTAAATTTAAATATTTCAATACATATTATACATCGTTAGAATCGTAATTAGGTCAGCTATCTGAATGTGTAACTTTTTTGTAAAAAATTGTTTGAAATATAAAGTAATAGAGCATTTTCCAAAATTTCACGATTTTTCAACTTTTTTCGATTTTCAGTACGTTATTTTACCTATTCCAGACATTTCAATGTCTTATTGGATTGATTCATGCACAAGACTACCGGAGGGACTCTCGATAGGGAAAGTTGAAGAAAAATCCCTGGAGCCGTTTTCGAGATACAGGCGTCCAAAAACGCTAAAAATCAGAAAATACTTGATTTTCAGTGTCATATTTTGCTGCTTGGTCATAGTATCCGTATAAATTGGGCATCATACGACAGTCCATTCCTCGGGCCACTCAACGAAAGCTTAATTTGTTTCATCCATTGATACTGGAAGGAGAAATCGAGTTTTTCCCCAAAACACCCATTTTTTGCGTTTTTTTTCGAAATATCTTTCATTATTTCGACTACTTCCGGTTTCCGGATCGTTGTTGAAATTGCTTTATGCAGCGGTCTGACTATATAGTTTTATGTTCCAGGACTTTCAGAAATATCGATTTATCCTTTCCCAAAAATATAAGGCTTGGGAAATGGGCAGAAAATTCGAAAAAAATCGAAAAATAAAGGGCAACAACTCGGAATGAAACTTATATTTCTGGAATCGGATGGTCTTCAGGTATCCAAAAATGTAGGTCAAATTTGAAAATTTTCAAAAATAACAAAAATTGTCTCGTAAACAACGTATTTTCAAAATTCGAACGACAAAAGCCATAGAAGAATGTTCGAAATTGAAAAATGTGAGATAGTCATTATCTCGGAAAAGATTTGGGGTTTCCGAAAATGTCATTTGTTTGAAAATAGGTAAAGAATTGACGAAACTACGGCTGATTTTCAATTCCAGAAAAAAGTACAAAATTCGGTTACTTCCGGTATGCTCAGAAGTTTCGAAATTGTTTTATCAAGTAGCCACCACATGGTTTCCCAATAGAAAATTTGGTTCCAGATCGATATCTGTTTTCGATCATGGAGAAATAGGCTCCCGCGGAAAAAAATAATAATAATTTTAGTAAAAACAATAGTCTTTCAGACAAAAGTCTGAAAGCCTAATAATATTAATCTTAGTAATAACAATAGTCTTTCACCGAAGGTGAAAGCCTAATAATAATTTTAACAAAAACAATAGTGTTTCACACAAGCTACGCAGTGTGAAACCCTAATAATAATCTTAACAAAAACAATAAGCTTTCATATGCTTAATAATAATAATTTTAGTAAAAACAATAGTCTTTCAGACAAAAGTCTGAAAGCCTAATAATAATCTTAACAAAAACAACAGTGTTTCACACAAGCTACGCAGTGTGAAACCCTAATAATAATCTTAACAAAAACAATAGTGTTTCACACAAGCTACGCAGTGTGAAACCCTAATAATCTTAACAAAAACAAAAGTGTTTCACACAAGCTAACTTAAATGAACTTCATGTTAACTTGAATAATTTTGCTTTCCGACGAGATAACGATGGCAATGCGATCATGTTCTACTGAGGCGCTCGGTGTTTTTTTGGCGCTGTTATTTTATGCATTTTATTACATATTTTGATGACATTCATTGTGGAGTGGGATTGCGCCCTAGAGTTGGAATCACTTCCTTCCTCAATCCCATGCAGAGCTTCTAGATCAAGTATTGTCTACACGAGGCCCTCGAAACACTGCAGTCAAGCTAGCTATCAGTTACTATCTCTGTTCAAGCTAGCAAAATGTTCATATCTCACAAATTCGAATAATATGCATAATACTTCTGTTTAGACATTGACATTTCTTTTAGCAAATATGAACTGAATTTGAAAAAAATAACCTGAATGAGATGTATTATTATTACAGTATAGAATATTGGTTTAGATGTATGGATCTAGATGGAGATGGTGTCATATCCATGTATGAAATGGAACAATTCTATGAGGAACAGATGCAGAAAATGGAGGAATTAGGAATTGAAAAGCTACCATTTGAAGATTGCTTGTGTCAGGTTGGATGACATACATAATTACTTAACTTTTCAACTCATCTATACAATTATATGCATTGTTCATTTGTATGAATTCAGTCATCAATAAACAACACTTTAATGATTTTATGGCTTACAATGTCTGGTGGGTTTTTATACGCCCTCATTGAAATGTGGTCGTATATTGTCGTCGGTCCGTCCATCCGATGGTCCGAAGTCCACAATTGCTCTAGAGGCTAAAGTTAATATCCGTTTAAGGCCATGAGACGAAGAAGCTTATTGATTTTCAGCGATTTCCGATAATTACTGCCAGAGTTATGGCCCTTGATCACATCAAAAAATCTTGTGGACGCTCTAGAGGCTAAAATTAATATCCGATTGACTTTAAATTTATACACAGTGTTTAAGATCATGAGGCGAAGAAACCTATTGATTTTCAGCAATTTCCAATAATTACTGCCAGAGTTATGGCCCTTGATCACTTCAATAAATCTTGTAGACGCTCTAAAAGGCTAAAGTTAATATCCGATTGACTTTAAATTTATACACAGTGTTTAAGGCCATGAGATAAAGAAGCCTATTGATTTTCAGCGATCTCCAAGAGTTACGGCCCTTGATTACTTCAAAAATTCTTGTGGACACTCTAGAGGCCAAAGTTAATATCCGATTGACGTTAAATTTATAAACAGTGTTTAAGGTCATGAGATGAAGAAGCCTATTGATTTTCAGCGATTTCTGATAATTACTGCCAGAGTAATGGCGCTTGATCACTTTGAAAAATCTTGTGGGTGCTCTAGAGGCTAAACTTAATATCTGATTGACTTTAAATTTATACACAGTGTTTAAGGTCATGAGACGAAGAAGTCTATTGATTTTCAGCGATTTCCGATAATTACTGCCAGAGTTATGGCCCTTGATCACTTCAATAAATCTTGTGGACGCTCTAAAGGCTAAAGTTAATATCTGATTGACTTTAAATTTATACACAGTGTTTGAGGTCATGAGAAGGGGAATCCAATTGATTTTCAAAGATTTCCGATAATTACTGCCCAAGTTATGGCCCTTGATCACTTTGAAAAATCTTGTGACGCTCTAGAGGCTAAAGTTATCATCTGATTGACTTCAGATTGATACACAGAGCTTAAGATCTTGACACGAACAAGTAAATTTTTATGACTTGAACAGCTAAATCCATGATATTAAAAGTTGTATACTAAGCATAAGCATGGGACAGAACTTTATAAAAACCAAACAAATTCTAATGGTTTTCTGACAATTACTTCATGAGTTGTGTTTTTCTCGTTCGTTATATATATTGCATTATGCTAATACACAGTATTTAATATACATTTATTATTATGTTTATAGGTTTATTCGTTTTCATGTATTTCTATATTTAAGTGTCTGTTTAATAGAGTCTACTTAACAACGAATGTATATATCACGTGAGACGCGTTACTACTGGAACGTGAGTGTTTTTCACACACACGCACACACGTGAGCGTTAACACTTGAGCTATCGAGACCAAGTTTTTACCTTGGACCCTCTGTTTACGTTTTATATAGTCAAGTTTTTAACTTGACGTTCTCCAGTTTTTATCGCTCTATTTTCAACTTTCCTGGGAGCGTCTTATTTTATGGTGCCAAAGCTTGTAAGTAGTCAATCTATCTGAATTATCCTTATATTTTTATAATTAGTTTAAACGAATGTAACAATCTATATATATATATCTGCTATGATATAATAAATGCTATTATTATAAATATTATTATAAAAGTTTGTTAAATTGATGTACATTATGTGATAATAGTCGTATTTTGTTCATGTTTCAGTGAACGAGAGAATTTGAGAGACCGAGAATTTATTTTCTAAATAAAACTGTATCAAGCTACAACACCATCGTTCCTTATTTTTACCTCCTCCCGGAAAGTACAGTTCAAAGCTAAAACCACTACTGAGGTCGGTCTAAAGCTGTTTACCAAGTTCCTGTCAATTCAACACTTGATGACCAAACCTGTTCCTGATTCGTAGTTTTTCACCATCTACAGAACCATCTTTACAAGACACACCATGAAAGAATCAAAACGATCTCGAACTTACAAGAAGATACCTTTTACACGCGAATTGCATAAATTACAATCACATTTGTCTGAACGTAGTCCAGAGGACACAAAAGTAAGTTTAGATAAACTGAAACATTTGTATAGAGAGCTAATGATAGCTTCTGAACGTTATGAAGATTCTCTACTAGATATCGATGATCCTGATAAATTTGATGAATTGTGTAGTGAATCTGATGCATATATATCAGAAATTCATGATAAGTATTGTACTGTTTTAGATCAGGCAAACACATTTTTAGAACCATTTTCGTTACTTAAAGAGTCAGAATCGCGTGTAATTAACCAAAGGGTAGTGATAGTACATATGTTAGTGAATCTGTTAATAAATCAGCTAGTTTAGATAGCAGTTTAACTGAATTAATAAAATTGTTACAATTGCCAAAGGTAGAACTCCAAATATTTGATGGCTCACCTAGTAAATATTATAAGTTTATCAATCAATTCAAACAATCTGTTGAAAATTTTACTGATGACCCTTTAACCAGACTTAACTTGCTTCAGCAATACTGTACAGGTAAAGCCGCTAAATTGATTTCTGCTTGCTCTAAGTCTTCTTCAGCTGAAGGATATTCTGAAGCCCTAGATATTCTAGAACAACGTTGCGGTAATCCTCATGTTATTTCTGAAGAGATCATTTCATCTCTAAGACTGGGTAAAGTTGTAAGAACTGCACGTGATTTGATGGCATTATCTGATTCTCTTCAGGAAGCTTATAGCACTCTTCTTCAATTACATAAACTTAATGAGGTGAGTTCCCAATCATTTTTTAAACATATCTTGAACAGAATTTCTATACGATCTGTTAAAGGTAAATGGAGAAATCTTGCTGCTGATGTATTTGACAAAAAAAATGAATATCCCTATTTCCCTGACTTTGTCGACTTTATCTTTAAGGAAGCAAAACATTTGAATGATCCTGTCTATGGATTAGATGTGTTCAAGTCCGATCCTGTCAGCAATAGCTATAAAAAGTCTTATTGCTCAGCCACTTCCGTGTCGTGTCCATCTTGCAAGGAAGAACACGTTTTGTTGAAATGTCCTACTTTTAAAAGGTTGTCAGTTGATTCTAGACGAGCGTTCGTTGAAGCGCATAACCTTTGTAATCTTTGTCTTGGAGGTCATGTTGATACCTGTAAGAGTAATTATAAGTGTTCAAAATGTAAACAAAGGCATTCGTATTTACTTCATCAAGAATCCACACGAGACTTGCCGGTGTCTGTTAATTTGTTGAACCACAGCTCGTCTATCTTGCCACTCATCCCTGTTATTGTAGACGGCAGCTACAAGGCCCATGCATTAGTCGATTCCGGCGCAACGGACAGTTTTTGTACGCAACGAGTGTTAAATTATTTTGCCGGCAAACTTGAAGTTATAAAAGTCAGGTTTCCTTTGGACACTGTTACTGGTGTATGCACAAAAGAAAAGAAAGTTGTCAAACGGCTATCACTTTCTTCTCTATCTAATGGGGACACATTGCAGATGTTTAATTTGGCCGTGATTGATCATATTCCCGTCAATAATGCTAAAATTGATGTTTCTCTTTACCCACATTTACAAGATATTCCAGGTTTATGTCTTGGGGGGTAATGTTAATGTAGATGTATTAATTGGTCAAGATCACAGTGAAGCATTGTTACCTTTGGATGTTGTTTCGGGTAAAAAAGGGAAACCCTTTGCTTGTAAATACTTACTTGGTTGGGCTGTGTGTGGGTCAGTAAACTTTCCCAGTGTAACACCCCATAAGGCCATCAGTAATTTCATTACTTCTACTCACGTCCCATACCCTACGTCTTCAAAATCTCAGGAGAGTCTGGATCTTTTGTGGAATGAAGAACTTCAAGACTTGAACAATTCGTGCTTGTCAGTTGAAGATAAATTTGTTTTATATTTTTGGGACAAAGAGATTTTCCTCAATGAATCTAATCATTATGTGATTCCTATACCTTTCAGGTCTAACTCTGTCATTCCAGATGATAGATATATTGCTGAATATTGTTTGAATAATTTATTCAAAAGTCTTTCAAGGAAAAGCACGTATCAAAGGTATGATCTAGAAATCAATAAGTTGATAAAATCAGGTTTTGCTGAACCTACAAATTTAATTTCTAGCGACCCGACATGGTATCTTCCTCACCATGCTGTTGTAACGGACAAGAAACCCGACAAGGTTCGTGTCGTATACGACTGTGCAGCTAAGTATGAAGGCGAGTCCTTAAATGATAAATGTTATCAAGGACCTGATCTTGTCAATAAATTATTGCACGTTCTACCCCGTTTCTGCGAACACTCTTATGCAGTCTGTGCCGACGTTGAGTGCATGTATTTTCAGGTCATCATCCCGCCTCAGCAGTGCGATTGTTTACGTTTTCTCTGGTTTGACACTTTAAATCAAATCACCACTTATCGTATGACAGTTCATGTTTTTGGAGGTGTCTGGTGCGCATCTAGTTCTACGTACGCCTTACGTCGTACTGCTTACGATGATCCGTTCGTTAACCCTCTCATTAAGGACGTCATTTTAAATTCCTTTTATGTCAACGATATGCTTCGATCTACTCCTACCGTTGAAGAACTTTCTCTAGTCATTGAGGGCTCCAAATGTGAATTGGCCAAAGGTGGTTTCAATCTCACAAAGTTCATTACGAACGAAGAGGGTACCTATGACCCGATACCTATGGACGATAGGGCTAAGGAATCCAAAATATTTGAAAATACAATAACTAAAACATTGGGTATACGCTGGAACGTCAATGATGATTTCTTTTATTTTTCATGCAATTTCTCTTCGGGGGATGAGATTTTAACGCGAAGGAAAATGTTGAAAATGGTTGCATCCATTTATGACCCTTTAGGCTTAATAAATCCGCTTACTGTTAGGGGCAGGATTCTCTTACAAG